CCGGAGGCCATGAGAGCTGCATCAGGTGCATCATTACCTGTCCTGCCAATGCCTGCGCTGCAATGGACCACAATGGGTGGTTCAGGGCCCTGCCCTTTGGAGTGTGCACCCAGGCTGCTGACGGCCAACCTCTGCTGGCTCCTGACTGCTCTCAAGAAGTCAATGAGGGAAGCCGCTGAGGAGGGGACACCATAATCGGGCCAGCTCAGGAACTGAAAGTGAGTCACCTGGCGTTTCTGCCGCTCCTTGGATAGAAAAAGAAAAAAAAGTTAGTGAGGTCATTTCTGCTTGCCCTGACTACCTTCAGCTTTTCTAGTTCTTGATGTCCTGGGATCCCTACTACCAAGATTCCTGCCTACCACCCTCAACTTTCTCCACAACTGCTTCTCTACAAACCCAAAGGAACGATTTGATGTTTGGAAAGGGCAGAATTCCTATTTGTAGGATCCAGATTTCTTCTAACTTTTATTCCTATGTAATGCCACTATTGTGTTGAGATAATATGGTTATATTGGCTCTGAATTAAATATCCTGATCCTCTTCCCAGAAAAATGGACGTAACTTATAAGCCCCCTGGAATCCTGCCTATTTCCCTTTGGATATTTTCTTTACAGTAATAGTTCTCCCTTAGCTTCAAAAAAGTGAGAAAATAGAAACCTGGATTTACCTCTGTGTTATGAATTTCTAGCGTTGTTTTCTTATAATGGTTCATGTTCTCCACGCCTAGATTGGTCACTGTGAGGAAGCCAAATCGGATCCGAGAGTCTTTTTCTAAAGGCCAGTACTGGCCACACTTCCTCCTGCCGCCCTCCTCAAAGCTGAAGATACACAGAGCAAGGTAAGCCTTCCACCCTTCCTCTCCACACCATTAACCATGCCCTCCCCAGGGGCAGCAGTATCACCTCTTGCATTGTTTCTAACTTACACCCTTGCTTTTTGGCAGAAAAGAAAGAAAACTTTCATTCTAAACAGATGTAACAACAAAAATTTCTGCATGTATCATTAAGCAGATTTTTATTGAGCACCTACTATATCATTTGGCCCCTTTCCTCTGGGTACTCCTCACATATCTGGGATAAATACTGGGTGGACAAAGAAAGACAGTAGATAAAGTGTGGTGGGCCAGATTGAACTCTCAGCCTTGTATCTCAGCCACTGTTCATTTTCTTCCCCAATGAGGGACCTTGAGTGATAGAAGAGTAGGAAAGGCACAGCTCCTAAGATGCCGGCCCTGAGGTTTGTGTAAAGGCCTAAAGTCCACCTCATTACACTTCAGTGGCTCCAAATTACTCCAAGGTGATACTTCTTCCACAACCTCCTCTCCAAATCAAAGGTGGTTGTAACAGTACCATGAGAAAGCAAAATGAGCTAACATTCTAATTAATTCTTTTCTCCTCATCTGAAATAGGTTATAATTATCATAATGATAATAGTAATACTAATGAAATAGTAATTCCTGAAGTTTTGGCAGATGTGTACACCAAAATTTCAAAAACACTATTTTCATCAAGAGCTTCCTGCCTACATGAGTAGAAAATGGTCAAAGTAGCAGGGGAAGGGAGAGCAAAGGGGAACCGGCAATTCAGACACCACACTTCGCATGTCACTGTCTGACTTTTTAAGTATAATTTAAATGGAGTGACAGTCACTGCCGTTCATATTATTTTTTATACAGGTGCCCTTTGGAAGTATTCAAAGTGAATTGTCCCATGTTTCCTAATACTTCCTTTAGTGGATAAGACCAGGATAGGCTGTAACTGGCACAGGGTCAATAGAGCCATGGATTAAAACTTTGACAAGTTAGATCTATCAATCTCCACCGTACCCTGGCTGTTAACTTTGGATCAGCTTAAAAAAAAAAAAAAAGCTATGACATCTCAAACTCTTGGCCATGGCTTTCGTAATCCTCACTGTGTCTAAGAGCTAAATGCCTCTTTGCAATCACCCATGATGCTTGGGGAGGCAGGGGTGGGGAGAGGGGGCAGAGAGCAGTGGGAAGAAAAGTGATGAACTCACCGAGTGGTCATGACAATCACCAAGACTTTTTGCTCCCATACCATGAGCCAAAAATCACGGTAAGTATTCTCCAAAGGGCCTGGAATGAAAGGAGAAGACAAGGTATGAGTGTGTTAACACACATCTGCATGTTAACAAGGTCGCCAGGTAGGTTACAGTCTGAGAAGCACCGTTACTGACCTTCTCAGAGTCTTATGAGCAGGACTTCAACTATCATATCCAGACTGACAGTGTCAACTGTGTACAAGGCTGTAGCTGTTTTATTTAATCAATCACCAGTTGCCAAGTGAACTGTCCCCTTCCATGTCCCATCATCTCCTCAGACTCAACATATTTGCAATTCAGCTTCCTCCTTCAAAACTAGCTTTCTCTCTACACTTTCCCATCTCTATTCATAGCACTGGCATTCTTCAATCACCCAGTCTTAAAAAGTTGAAGTCAATTCTGACCCATTTTTTCCAAAATTGTTTTTTAAAAATGTATTGATTTGAGGGTGGGGGGGGTGAAGAAGAAGAGAGAGGGGGTGGGGGAACACATCGATTTGTTGTTCTGCTTATTTATGCATTCATTGGTTGAGTCTTGTATGTGCCCTGACGGGGGATCAAATCTGCAATGTTGGCATATCAGGGTGACACTCTAACTAACTGTGCTACCCATTTTGGCCAGGGCCTTTACCCATTTTCTTTTATCTACCAAATCCTTGAGATTTTTTGCCTTTGAATTGTTTTTGGTTTTTGTCCTCATCCTGATCTCCCTACTCAATTTCACTGCTATGAGGACCAAACATATAATCTTTTGTCTGAGTTACTGTACTTCCATCTTGGTTTACTTTCCTGAACAGGACTCTCTCTTCCAATCTATTCTGGATACTCCTGCCGGTTTAATCTTTCTAAAAAATTGCTTCATCACAGTATAGACACATTATGCTCACTTCTGCCTCTATTCCCGTGCCCAAGCCATCTCTCTCATCTCCAAGGCTGTTCACTTTCTACCCATTTTCAAGTGCTGCCTCTCCCTTGCAGCTTTCTCTGACCACCACACACCTTGCAGGACTTTCTCTTGTCTCAGATATTGATGGCACAGTAGATCAAAACAGCTTAACCATTTAACGTATATGGTCTCACACCAGTCATTTTACTTTGTGAGAATTAATCACATCTCAGCAAACATGGTGCTAAGGGCAAGGGCCATGTCATCAAGTTATCTTTCTGTCTTACAACCTGCACAAGATGGGCATTCAGAGGGAACTTTGAAGATACTTGTGGGCCAACAACTCCCTTTCAATCAAAGAAGTAACAACTCAGGGTAGTTCCTTGTACTTTCCTAGTGCTTTTTCCTCTTCTGGTTTCAGGGAAGCACAAGGGTTGATTTTATCCTGGAAGTTTTCTGGTTTCACTACCATTTTTGCTAACCTTTTTAGCAAGCACCAACATTGTATGACACTAGCATTTCCGCTGTGCAGAAGTGGACACTGTGAAGTCTTGAAAACAAACTAAATGTCTAACAAAAGAGGATTAAAGTATTGCATATCCCTAATTTAAACAATCCATATGGTAATATAAGATCTGTATCTTCTGCTCTGGAAAGGTGTGCACATGATATCAAGTGAAAAAAGAGATAATGTATAAAAAGAGCCCATTTTGTTAGATATTTTATATGTCTGTACCTATTTATATGCATAGAAAAAGGTTTAGAAGGAGATGCTGAAAAATGCTAACATTATCTATGGGTCTCAGGGTTATGAGTGATTTTCATCTTCAATTTCCAATTAATCTCTATGCAGTGAGTTTCCAGGCACATATGTATAAATTCTGCACCTCTTATCTGCCTTCTTCAATAACCCCCCAATCTTTATGAAAAACCAAGATCTAGTGGCCACAACGTTACAGAAAGTAACCATTCCTTTAAAAATTATGCTATCATCTGGTGCAAAGAATTACAGGTAGATGACTCAAAACCAATTTGTGAGGGATGGACTAACTTACCTTGTGTACCAATGTAAGCATTCTTCTGCTTATAGCCATCCATGAAACTGGCATTGATGTAATCTGTCTAATGATAAAAAGGAAACATCATTGCAGCTGTGTGGAATATACCATTTGGGTGGGAAAATAATGTACTAGTAGGTAAATAAAACCGAGGGTATGGCTATTCTCTTCTTGTCAGGAAAAAAAAAAAGAGAGAGAGAGAAGCAAAAAGGCCAATTCAATTCAAAACCTCACTTCCACAAATATTGCTGGAACAACTGGATATCTACATGCAGAAAAAGAAAAAAACCAAGCTGAATCCTTCCTCACACCATACACAAAAACTAACTCAAAATGGATCACAGACCCATTTTATAACTAAAACTATAAAACTCCTAGAACAGCGGTTCTCAACCTGTGGGTCACGACCCCTTTGGGGGTCGAATGACCCTTTCACAGGGGTTGCCTAAGACCATTGGAAAACACATATATAATTACATATTGTTTTTGTGATTAATCACTATGCTTTAATTATGTTCAATTTGTAACAATGAAATTGGGAGTCACCACAACATGAGGAACTGTATTAAAGGATCGCGGCATTAGGAAGGTTGAGAACCACTGTCCTAGAACAAACTATAGGATTAAATCTTTTTGACATTAGGTTAGACATAGCCTTCTTAGATATGACACATAAAATCACAAGCAGCAGCCTGGCCAGCAGTGGTTGAGCGTTGACCTATGAACCAAGCACATGCCCAGGTTGCAGGCTCAATCCCCAGTAGGGGGTGTGCAGGAGGCAGCCAGTCAATGATTCTCTCTCATCATTGATGTTTCTATCACTCTCTCCCTCTCCCTTCCTCTCCAAAATCAATAAATATCTATATTTTAAAAATCATAAGCAACAAAAGAAAAAAACAGATAAATTCAACTGCATTAAAATCGAAAACTTTTGTGCTTCAAATGATACCATCAAGAAAGTGAAAACAAAATAACAACAACAAAAAAATCCCACAGACTGCATATATTTGAAAAGATTTATACCTAGAATATATAAAGAATTCTCACAAATCAATAGTAAAAAGACAACCCAATTTTATTTTAATTTTTTAAAACTGATTTTAGAGAGGGAGACAGAGAGAGAGAGAGAGAGAAATATCGACGTGAGAGAGACACATCTATCAGTTGCTTCCTGAACGTGCCCCAATCAGGGATGAAACGCCAAACCTGCTAACATCAAGTGCACAGGATGACACTACAACCAATGGAGCCACATAGCCAGGGCAAAGACAACCCAACTTTAAAATGGGCAGAATAACTATTTCTCCTAAGAAGATGTACAAGTTAAAATCATAAATGAAATACCATTTCACACCCACTAAGATGAATATAGGTAAGAGATAATAAATGTTGGCAAAAATGTGGAGAAATTAAAACCCTCATTCTTTGCTAGTAGTAATGTAAAATGTTGTAGTCACTTTGGAAAAGAGTCTGGCAGTTCCTTGCAATTCTACTTAGAAAAATGGAGTTTCTTTTTCAGGTGATTAAAAAGTTGATTGAGACCCTAACCGGTTTGGCTCAGTGGATAGAGCGTCAGCCTGCAGACTCAAAGGTCCCAGATTCGATTCCGGTCAAGGGCATGTACCTTGGTTGCGGGCACATCCCCAGTACAGAGTGTGCAGGAGGCAGCTGATTGATGTTTCCCTCTCATCGATGTTTCTAACTCTCTATCCCTCTCCCTTCCTCTCTGTAAAAAATCAATAAAAAAATATATATTTTTTAAAGAAAGTTGATTGTGGTATTGGCTGCACAATTCTGTGAATACATTTTTAAAAACTATTGAATTAGACAGAAGAAACCAAGATGGAGGCATAGGTAAACACCGGAAATTGCTGCCTCGCACAACCACTTCAAAAATACAACTAAAAGACAAAACGGACATCATCCAGAACCACAGGAAGGCTGGCTGAGTGGAAATTCTACAACTAGAAGGAAAGAGAAAAGCACACTGAGACTCAGAGGAGGTGCGGAAGTAAAGTGCAGAGGTACGGAGGCGCACGTGGAAAGGGCTGGCAACTGAGGACTCGGTTGTCTTTTTCAATTGAGAGGGATTCTCAAGCTCCCGACTACTCTGAACTCCAGTTCCAGACGAGTCTCTGGGAACCCAGACTCATACAGGGAGAAACTGGACTGTCTGGCATCGGTCGGAACTTGAGGGCGGCTTTCTCTCAGAGGTGCTTGCAGTGATTACCGGGACACTGAGA